TTTTTAAACTATAACAAATTTTTTATGGTCGGCCGTGGGCCCCTAAATGGCGTGCCCCCCCCCCCCCCGCATTGCGGTGTCTGGCGGTGTCTGGCGGCACTGTAGTTCCGCCCCTGTGGCAGGTGTATCATTAAATTATATTACTGTTTACAAGGGGCAAAGTTATAACCAGTTTGTAGAAGAATAATGCAGTGTTCCATTGTGTTTGTGTATGAAATCATTAAAAATGTATATTTTTTCTAGCTGGTATCTTACCAGCTGGTATCTAAATGTAAATGTTAACACATATATGTAGGCTATGTTTGTTTACGAAATGTTTAAAAGGAGTATACAGCTTTTTACGCCATAATAGTAAACAATTGCAAAGATTAACATTATTGTAAACCAAAAACAGAATGTAAAAAATATAAGAAATCGTACCTAAGCATTGTACCCATGAAGCATACGGGAACCGGACGTTTTCCCGAAAGACACTTGCCCGAATGCCGTTTGCCCGAAGGCCGATTTCCCGAATGGACACTTGCCCGAATGCGACAAATGCCCGAATGGACACTTGCCCGAATGCGACAAATGCCCGAATGGGACAAATGCCCGAATGGACACTTGCCCGAATGCGACAAATGCCCGAATGCCACTTGCCCGAAGGTCGTTTGCCCGAAAAATGTTAACATTATATATTACTAAATAATCATTCGTAATCAATTTAAATTTAAAATGTTGGTAAACAAAACACATCTACGCAGAAAGAAATTTAAAAAAAATAATATTATATATTACAACGCAAATATTTTAAATTAATTTGTATTTGATATTTAAAAAGTGTAGAAACATATACTTTCTCTTCCATATATGAAATTAGACAAAAATACAATTTTCATTCATCTCCGGATTTTAAAATGAGTTTAGCTTTCTTTATTAATTAATCGCTTCAACGCATTGTCTTAACAAGGTGCATTAAATGGAGATCAAACATATTTGACTACGTTTAGTTTCTAAATTCGCCACCTAGACCTCGCCTCGTTCTTTTGTTAAATGATCACCACACAAGTTGAGCATAACAAGTTAAAACAAACTTGCTTCTGTTCAATGTTGCGAGACGCCGCGCCGCCTACGCCGTGTCATAAAAAACTATATAACCACCGCAACACGTCGGCTAAACAAGGTGTTCAAAACTTACATCAAAAGAATGTAAAGACACCGCCGCCAACATCACCTTATATTTATTAAAGAATAAAGTTTTTCTTAGAGCACTTTCACAGTTTTGAAAAAAAAATAAAAATAAAAGCTAAATTTAAAAATATTAACAACTTTGTTTTTTGCTTAGAATTGTGTTTATAATCAACATTTCAAACTTAGATTGATTAAAGAATGTCTATTTGGAAATATTATTTATTATCTAATATTAACATTTTTCGGGCAAACGGCCTTCGGGCAAGTGGCATTCGGGCATTTGTCGCATTCGGGCAAGTGTCCATTCGGGCATTTGTCCCATTCGGGCAAGTGTCCATTCGGGCATTTGTCGCATTCGGGCAAGTGTCCATTCGGGCGTTTGTCGCATTCGGGAAAGTGTCCATTCGGGAATTCGGCCTTCGGGCAAACGGCATTCGGGCAAGTGTCTTTCGGGAATTTGTCGTAGACCCGAAGCATACACTATATCTACTAACAAAAAAAAAAAAAAAAAACACAAGTAGGAATGTATTCAATATTAAACAATATGCACATGCTTGCAAACAGTGTTTCTTCCAGACTTTTTTTCTCCGGGGGGCACTTAAAATTATCGGGGGGCGGACACTGTTAAAAGTATATATTTTCTATATAAATTATATAAATTTCATTTCGTTCGGGGGGGGGGGGATGGTAAAAAAATTTCGGGGGGGGGGGGGCTTAGCCCCGAAGAGATGCCTGGAAGAAACTCTGCTTGCAAATAATAGCAACATTTAATATATTCTACTATTACCCAGTTTTTTCCTAAAAATTCATTTTGGTTTAATTGTCTTTGTTTGTTGTTACAGTTTCCAAGCCTTTTACAAATTAACTACAAATTTAGTAAAGGTACAATTTAATTAAAGCAGGTACATCTCAAAACAGTAAAGAAAATGTAAACAATCCACAATAGTGGTCATATATTAGTTTGCTTATTCGTCTATTTTGTTTATTTATCATTGTCATTGTTGCGTTTCTAAACATAGAAACTGCAAACTAAGCCTGACCAGCTCACACAAGAATTTTCTGATAGTAAGTCATCTTGTGAAAACCTCTGCATTGAAAAAGGTTATACAATGTAATAAATAGAGCTATAATATGCATATGTAGATTATCGTCCCTCTAGAAACAAAATGAACTGTTTAATCAAAACATATTTAGCTGATGTACCTTTTAAGCAAAAACTGAAACATATAAATAGTTATCTATTCTCAAATTTCATATTTAGTTTTCACTTTTGAGGGAAAAACACGTCCAATCAGGAATGTATCGCATTTGGGCAAATGTCCATTCGGGCATTTGTCCCATTCGGGCAAGTGTCCAATCGGGAAGAGGGTCTTTGAGCGAACGGTATTCGGGAAAACAACCAGCTTTCGGTAATATGACCAATGCTCACGGGAAACCAATAACCTAGTCATGCCCGTATTTGATTTGCTATAGTTAAATTCTCATAATTACTGCCGTGTTCATTTCGTTGTAGATTATAGGCACAATTTTGTGCATTTGTAGCAACTGCATATCGAATGTATATTTTTTTTCATTTTCGGAAAAATGTCTAAAGGTGAAGGTTCCGTTTTATAACTTGCGTTATCGTCCTAAAAATAGAAATTAAGATTTCCTCAAATCTCCGCGTTTTACACCTTCTTAAGTCGGAAAAACTTAGTTTTTCAATTCTGTCGTATGTCTGTATGTGCGTATGTGAACACAATTACTTAAGTACCGTTTAAGGGGAGTTGCTCAGTTTTTTTTTATAATTTAAGATCTAAAGCGTTTTGAATAATTTTTAATATTTGGTACCTGAAAGTAAGTAAATATTTAATTGCAAAAAATAATGGTTGAAAACAATTTTGATTTGTCTGAATACCCGGCAAAACATTACGCCATTTTGAATTTTTCAGTACTTTTAAAACGCTTAGGCTTTTTTATTTATGCACTTATAGCAATCAAATTTAAACGACTTATATAACTTTATATGTTAAAACTTTTATCACGAAAACTTTTTGAAAGATCTACTGCTCAAAATTCTACAAGGTCTCAAAAAATCGCACCATTTTTAGTGCACTAAGTTTCAAAATATGCATATTTTTACTATAAACTTTTTTTCTATAAAAGCCATCACTAATCGTGTAATTAATTTTTTAAAAATTACAATACAGAAACAAAGACAACTGATGTGGCAGCTCTATTTAAATTTACTTATGGGCAAACTGCGTAGCGGTGGGGAAATTTTGACAAGGTTAACAACGTTATCACGATGAAGTAGTAGTATTCTTACAGTTTGGGCGATACTGATTACGATTACAAATTATATGAGACAGTATCAACTTTATATTAAATATTATTTTAGTTTACTAGATCTATATCTATATTAAATTTGAATAAGGATATATTCTGTATTTAAAAAACTACTCAACTTAAACTAACCCTGCTAGCACAGTTAATTATCCGCTCAGCTGTTGTATCGTTTGAATTTGTTTCCAATAGTTAGTAATTATCACAAAGTAATCGCACAATTTAAATTATTTGGTGTATTATACTAACTATATTGCGACTAAGACAACAGTTGCGCTTAGAATTCGTTCGTTAAGAGGTTATTAAATGTAAAGGAATCCAGAAAAGAAAAAATATTTGGGGTGGGAGAGGAAGAGATTGAAAGAAATTTCAGAGCGCCAACAAACATCATCCAAATGTGTCAAACTGGATACATATTTTTCAAGCTGTATGCCTTTAACTGCTACAGCAATACAACCAGATGCTGATGTGTCTCAAGATACATAAGTACAAAATGTACAAGCAACAACAAAGCAGAAACGTGAGTGTGGAACACGGCCGAGGCTATGCACACCAAACACTCCAGCAAGAACCCCCTTCCCACTCCTTCAAGCGTAATGGAAGTCCCGACTGACGACACGTCAGAGGATGTGCCTGATAGAGTGGAAATATCCTCTGACAGCGACACAAATCAAAAGTAACAGGCGATACACCAGACGAGGACTCAGCCGAAGAATGTGACACAACGAAGCAGCAAGAAGGACCAAACCACAATTCTGGAACCTCCTAACCCCAAACCCCTATTATGGACCAAGCCATGCTGGACAACATTACAAGAGGTGAAAGAGCAGAGGTAGACACTGTCAAGCACACGTGGTTAGTTGCAAACTATCGTGAATTATTTTGATTTACTGTACTGTAATGTATGATTGGTCAAGCGTATCAATGAATCTCTTCCCATTCATAATTTTTACGTGCATGACCTTATATGGAGTTTGATATAAAATTTTACTTTCTAGAAAACAACTTCTATCCCACTTATTTTAAGAACAAAAGAAAAGGTCACTAAAAAAAGAGGGCCCCATATATATATATATATATATATATATATATATATATATATATATATATATATATATATATATATATATATATATATATATATATATATATATATATATATACAAAATTGAATTAAGAAAATAGGATACTCATTTCAGGCCTGATCGGGTTTTTAAAAAAAGGGTTATTTCAATTAAAACAAATCATAACAACATGTCTTGTGTGTGAATGCTTCAGTCTGTTTGAAAACCTCTTCTTTTATTTTATGTCTGCTGTAATATTTCCGATCATCGAGCCGGTCAAAAGAATATGAAACATGAAAGCTTTGTATGTGTAATGGTTTATCGTGTTAAGTTTATTTATATATTTATTGTATTTATATTATTTATATTGTATTTATATTATTAAATTGTAATCCCACGATACATATAAATCGTGAATTTGACAAAGGTTGACGATTTGCATCATGTCTGCCTGTCTATGGAGACGATAACTTGAGTACCTTATAAGATAGGTTAGCAAAATTTCATATTTAGGAATTACATCAAATTTGTACTTCTGAAGTATGTTTTTAGTGATATCTAGGGGTCGGCGTGGTCGAGTCGGTAAAGCTCATGGTTGCTAAACCGAAAAGTCTCGAGTTCGAACCCCCGGGCAGATGAGGCTCGTTAGCTGGGGACAGCCACTCTTCTAGGAGAGACAACTCCAAAATTAAACAACTGCTGCCTTGTAGTTTGTTCTTGGTTGGACAAAGGCTATGGAAGCAAATCCAAAAAGAAAAGCAGGCTGAAATCGGAGTCAATGGCCTCAATGGCGCATAACCAGTTGACACGTAACGCTTAATTGTGTTGGAGGCGTGGTCGAGTCGGCAAAATTTGAACAAAGTCTCGAGTTCAAACGCACTGGCAAATAATTCTCGATCCCCTTCAACACTGATAATTAAGAACGAAGAAGAAGAAGAAAGAAGTGATATCTAGTAAGCGGAACTTGTACTTACTCTAATGTTTCTCAAAAGCCAATAGCAAGTGCACCGTTTAAGTAACGTGGACGAAATTTCACATTTCAAGTACTACCTTATACACACCGCAATTGTAATGTTTGGGGCTCACAGTCACCACCTAGGTAGAGCATGACTCGGCTAACAATTCAGCACTTTATCTATTGCATGAGATCCTGACTTGTGACGAATCTGCTGAACAGATGATGCCAACTTGTATCTGTGTTAGACAGGCACATTTTGATACTCAAACAACTGTTAAAAAACATTTTTTATTGTATAATATAAAAATGTAATTAATTTAATTTAATTAAACAGGGAAACAACAATGTAATTACTTGACATAAAATCTTTATTTCATTGTTACTTCCCTTTGACAACAAAGTAGTTTATTTTCCCAATTTAGTGATCGAAGTATACTTTAAAGCTTAGCTTTACAAAGGATGTTTATTTCATACATTTTTTTTTATTATTTAATCAAATTATTTAACAGAGAGTAAACTCATGAAACCGATATTGTCCCCGAATTCATCTTCATGCTATAACTGAAAATGTATCGAAATTCGAAAATAAGTAGAATTGGTGTAACAGTTGTGTATAACAATGTGTTACATATTATATTTAAATTGACAAGCAACTTTAAAGTAAAGCTAACTTGCATATCATGCGGTCAATTCGGCAGAGAAAGTAGAGTTCATGTGTTGGTGTTACACCCATAACTTAGTATGTCATTGAGTCCACATGGAAAACTTATCAGAATTATGTTTCTCCAAAACTCTTTAGGCACACATCAGATCTGTGCATCAAGAAAGGTAATCGAACATGGGAATCAAACTCGTGTCCTTGGGGAAAAAATGTGTCTTCTCTTTTACTCGACCATGTCGTCCCGTTTCTCCAGTTGCTTATTAACGCCCTGCTTTACAGTTTTCATGTTTGAAAACTTTGATTCGATGTTTTAAAGTTACACTTGTAGTTTTATCACTGCCGCTCTATCAACTTTTACAAAAGTTGTTTTATACTATAACATTTAAGGATTGTTAAAGGATTTCTAGTCAATTATAATGACAACAATGTTTACACAAATATCAGTCAATGAGAGATCAAACTATTTTTTTCATTTTTCTATTGGAGCAGGTCTAGAAACTTCGAAATATCTAAATATAACATGTGATGTGTAGAAATATTTTAAAATTATTAGAATTCCATTTTTCTTTTCTAATTATCTCATTTAAATTAGCCTTACAGGTGCATTAGACATAAACAAACGGACTTTGTTGTAAAGTTTAAACTTACAACCCATGACAATCTGGCGCGAACATCGACATCACAACATACGCTGTTTAACAACAACTTAAACATCAACAGACAACAAAGATTAAAATAAAAAAAGAAGAACAATATTTTCTTTTACAATTTAATGTCGTTTAGTGTTAACATTTTATAAACAAATGTAAACAGTACGAATATGACATTTGATAGGTAGGTTACTGTGAGTATACGGGTGTGAATTAGAAGTTTCTTCAGTCACACCAGTTGTAAGGGTACGGGTGTCTTGTGATGAATGAATGATGACAGAAATATCCAACACAGATTGAAGTTAAAAAATAAATAAACCGGTAGTGATCTCCCCTAAACTTTCTCGAATATTCTTATATAAAACAATAGGGGATGGTAACTGGGGATATAGTTATGATTTTTAATCTATTTTAAATACTTAAACTTTTAAAAATAGAATCTCATTAAAAAACAATTGCGCACCAAGCGAACGCCGAATAAAGAAGATGTGTATAATAGTGCGCAATATTATTAGTACTTTTTAAATTTACATGCGTTTTTTGAAAAATTGGAAATAGCGTAAATTAGTACTTCCGGTAAACGGAAATTACTGATAATTTGATAGAAGGTAGAGAATTAGATGTATAACGTACATGTGAAATTTCATTTATCTATCTGAAATAGTACTCAAGTTATAGGCTTTTGAAAAATTCAAAGTAGAAAAAGTACCACTTCCGGTTATCGGAAATCGCTCAAAAGTTGATAAATATATACGATTTTATAAAATACTTATATATGAAATTTAATCAACCTAGCTGTAACGGTACTCAAGTAATCGTGTTTACACACAGACAGACAGACAGACACACAGACATACGGACAAGATTGCAAAATTATGTTTTTCCGTATCAGTGAGGTGTAAAACGTCGAGATTTGTAAAAATCTCGATTTTTTTTTTGCACGATTACAAGACTTTCTCTATACTTCGTATATACGAGAAAGTAAAAATGTTCTTTATTAAAATTATAAATAAATTTCCTACCAAACTAGCCTGTTAAATACTATCTACTACTACTACTACTAACTCTACTAACACGCACTTCCATGACCTATCCTACCACTATCTACATTCTAACTGTTCCCTTCATAACCACGTCGGCTCCCTAATACAACCTTACACCTTCTCTCTTCACTATCTCACTATCCACTGCTGCCAACAGCAGCCCACGCTTCAGTCGTCAGCTGACCGTACCACGTGACCGGTCAGTTCATTTTATATTGGTCTCTCTCTGACCAACTTGCTATAGCCCGTTTCTGCAATGTACCTGAGTTTCCGACGCAACCTTGCGTCATCATAATTACATTTAATTTACAGGTAATAGCCAGCCTATAGGTATATGACAACAATTTGCCGACAAAAAGTATAAGCAAATTATTTACAACATTTGAAACAAATAAACTCTAAAATCCATCAATGTACATGTGAATTTATTTGGTTAAACAGTTTAAATCAACCAACACATTTGTTTTAATCATTTAAACGTAATACAATGTTGATAAGACATGCAGGTCTTAACACAAACAGTTTAAAGGTTCCGCCATTTTGTTTGTTTACATTGTGTAGACAAGGGGAGAGAACCACCTATTCAAAGGCGTATCCAGGTTTTCGTTGTAGGGGGGGGGGGGGCGAAATGAGCAAAAAAAGGCGCCGAATTTTTAACACATTCTATATATATGTATATATATATATATATATATATATATATATATATATATATATATATATATATATATATATATATATATATATACAATAGTATACACACACACTACAACCAAAAACAATAAACGCAACACCATCTGTTTTGTAATTCTTGTAAAACAAAATTCACATAATAATTCCTGGGACATTAATTAATTAAGACAAGCGAAATAGGGGAAATAACCACGCTCTTAATATAAATATGTATATATCTACATATTTAATTATAAATGTCAAAACAAATCAATAATTACTTTAGAATGTAATATAGTTATTTAACAGTATTCTTGTTTTCAATTTTTTTTTGTCTAAAATCAGAATTAAATATATCGTCATCATAAATGCTAAAGTATTACAGTATAATGAAAGTTTTTAAAATCAGAGTTGGGCTAAAAACACGCTTTAAATATTATAGAAAAACATCCGGAATAATAGCTTACATTTAACTAAAATATCGGTCTTTTAGTTCAGATCATACTTCTTTTAATTGACTACTGCTTTTTGTGTTCTTTAAAGATCATTTTTTTAACATAGTGATCAGGTACGGGTTAGATCAACTGGTAATTGCAAAAACAATATTCACAGAGTTTTACCTGATTCAAAAGCTATGATTCTGGCGGCATGGTACTTTGGTACATCGTTACGCGTTTTCCCAAAGGTACCTAACAGATCAGTTCGGGGTGGGGGGGGGGATTCAACTTTATTCACCGCTGTCCGGTCACTCTAGGTAAATTATTCAACCCAGTGTATACCTAGGTGTGACATTAATGTCGCTCTACATGATTGGTGAGGTGTGTGTGTGTGTGGTGAACAGAGTGAACATAGCGCCAGTTTTTAGATGACTGTTCTAAACATACATATTCAATTACACATATATACTGATTCAGAAATAGATTTAAATAAGTAGCAGTGGTATTATGACACTTTTTTTTACAGAGGGGTCCATGGGGGGAGGGGGTTGTAACTGTTTTATATAATTTGTAATCGTAATCACTATCGCCCAAACTGTCATAATACTACTACTTCATCGTGATGACGTTGTTGACCTTGTCAAAATGTCCACACCACTACGCAGTTTGCATATAAGTAAATATAAGTAAATATATAAGTAAATTTAAATAGAGGTGCCACATTAGTTGTATTTGTGTCTGTATTGTAATTTTTTAAAAATTAATTACACGATTAAAACTGTATATATAAAGTAATTATGTGTGAAGATTTATGTATACTATTTTCTAGATCAATTATTCTTAAGCAAATACATTATACAGCTGCCTTAAACTTAACACCTCTCTCGCCAAGTGGTACTACCCATAGAGGTTTTTTTAAATTGCAATGGTTATTTTTAGAATGACAAACTTGATACAGCTGTTAATACGTGTTGTAAACGTAGAAGCTACTAGAATAGTATAATTCTGCTTAATTGCTGCATGAAAAGAAATCTTGTGATTTACATAGATGTGCCGACCAAAAATAATTTTTAACAAAAATCATTGTTTAAAAATTTGAGTTTAAAAATTTCCAAAATTTTTGCCACTTTGCTGAAAATGGCCAGAAAGGGAGCGGCCGCTCCCCCTGCTCCCCCCCCCCCCCCCCCCCCCCTGCGTGCGCTACTGCAATCAGAAATGTTCGCCCCACAATAGTTTCCTTCTGAGTTTGATCCACTGTGGGGATTGATATAGATTAAGTCAGGTCCATGCCTGTAAACATAAGCTCCACTGGAGCCAGGACATGTACATGTTTTGTACCAGTACCTGGTACCGGCATTTTCCTCGCGTTTGTGTGTCCATTGTCCTACGGAGACCTGTTTAGGACAGCCATGAGGATGTGACACTATAACGGTCAACTTGTCCACATCAAGAAATCTACCGTATTTGTCCAATACTTTCATACACAGATCATTGAAGCGCCGACACATCTTGTCCAGTTCATCAACCAAATCTAAGTCACATGTCACATAACTCAACACACACCAGTCTCCCTCAATGTCTGCCCTATCCTCCACCTCCCAGCCATCAAGACTGACCACTGGACTTGTATCGTCATCAAAACCTAAAACACACCTGGTCTGTCTCGCCTCACTGTCATCAAACACCACGTGTGCGGCTGTAGACACAGGAACCTCCCCCCACACTTTGCTGGGTGTGGCAGAGACTTGACACTTGGCACAACGACACGTTTTTCCGTCACTCTCTGTGTACTTCTTTACATACCACACCCTCCCCGTCCCTAACCTCATCACGTGACTTCCTCTGTCATTATAACATGGATATGGAACTTGAGTGCCTGGGTAAAACTCTGGTCTCTCTAGACTGGTGAATTCAGACTTTACCTGGACAGTTAGGTCTGCCAATGCTTTAATTGTCTCAGACATGAGCTCGTCGTCATGGTAACGAGAGGGGAGACAATTTGCGTTGAAATCTTTAAGAGGTATAAAACCTTTGTGACCTGGATTCTTCTTACAGCCAGTATACTGTTTGGGTAGATCAGCTTCTCCTCCATAGCACATCTCAGCTTCATGATTTCCTACAGGAATAGGGGGAAACAAAGTATTTAAACTGACTAAAATAGCTTTAAACATGATATAAAGTTCTTTCAATTTAATTAATTAGCTATGTTTTGTTTAAACTAGCACAAATGTATAATTGTGTATATGAGATTTAGCTTATGTTTATTGTTTCTTACCTGGACAAAACACACCTGCTTTGTAACTGTGTCTAACTTTGTTGGGGTTTTCACAGCATGCTAAGTCTAAAAAAGAAATTAAGATTGTATATGTGATTTTCTTACAGAATAAGAGAAACATATTTTCTAAAAGGTTTAAAACAAATAAATACTTCTATACTATAAAAGTCACATATTATTTTAATACATATATGTTTATGCTAGCACAGATTTATATGCACTAAATCTGAAAACAAAACTATTAGTATGTCAGTTTTCCTTACTTACAGAAAGATATAATAACACAAACCCATCAAAATGAACAAAAAACATTCTAATTTTTTCTGAATAATTTAACATTAAAGGATACCTCTACCTAGTGACATAAAACTATCACATAACATAGTTGTATTGCTAAATTAGCAAACATTTAAAGAAGATTTATTAATTATCCTTTAAATTACTGTGCAGATACTTTATGTATGTATAATAAAGTTGTTCATTACCTGTAATTGTAGAGAATTCAGGCTTTTTGTTGGAATTTCCCATGACATGTGTTGCTGTAGATATTTAAAGTGTTTTATTAAAAACCTGCCATTGTTTTATAAGATAAAAGTTAAATACAATTAATCATTGAAACGAAGAATAGAATTAAAAGACAAGCAATATTTTTTAAATGAATGATTATTTAGTTAAGTTTGTAATGGTCTTTCAGTTATTAATACATTATGTATATGATATTCTGTATTATATCCAACACTCGAGATGTAACCTTTTAAAATTAATCCTTTATGTCTGATCAATGTAAGCGTATAGTTTTAAAATTGTTCAAACACTTACCAAAAATGTACTAAGTGTTCTGTTTAAAAAGACGTTTTCAGAACAAATACACACAGCTGTCATAACTTATCTTTGAGATCTGAAATCATACACAGGAGTATAAAATGTAACTGTTTTACTTTTTTAAAAATGAGATATAGAAAAGTACATACAATTTAAAATCAAACTAACAAGGAATAACCAATATTTTAAGAATGTATTTAATTTAAAATATTTACTGTGTAAGCAAGTCAGCTTGGTATGGCTATATTTTGACTTGAATTTAAGACTTCTCATCAGGAGGGAAAATCACTTGAATGAACACAAACAGCTGCCAAATCTGGATGACCTGAAATTAAACAGTTAAGAATAATGCTATGTAATCATTCACAAAGAAGGTAAAGCACCAAAATATACTTCAACTGGGTGAAATAGGGAGACTAATCATTATAGGATCATAACTACATATCTATATGACTTACATTACTGCAGTAAATTATAATGAAGCAGCCTAAATCCTAATTCTAGTGTTTCAATTTTATAGTTGATGATATATAGTAGACAATATTTTATGCACCATTAGACAGTGCAAAATATGCTGAAGGTGACATGCATACATCAAAAATATGGTCTATATGTCTATACTTTTTAAAAGTAGCCCTAATGATTGACAAAATCATCATATAGCAATTTAGTTTTAAAGGTACTTAAACAATTGTAGGGCTTTTGTTTAAATTCATGTTGTATATTTTCCAATTTATTGTATTAAAGTATTTAGAATCTTTTTTTCCATTGTATAGTTTAAATTCTTTTTCAAATGTATCTATGGTTTATTTTTTAGAGCACTCTTTTATGTCTCATGCTTTTCTTAGAAATAGAAATATCATATTAGATAGAAAAACAAGCCAAGAATCTGTAACAACTAAATTCACCAGATTATAAAGTTATTTGAGAGTGTGTGTAAATTAAGAATGCAAAATAGGTGCAGGGAATAGGAAACATAAGATATGACTTACGAGTGTTAGATTTTCCTACTTAGTACTAGTGGACTTACATTCTGATTTATTTATAGCCTAGCCCTATACCCAGTGGCGTAGCGAGGTCGGGTGTCACCCGGTGCGACACTTAATGGTGTCACCCCCTCCCCCCCCCCAGAGGCGTAGCGACTCTCCCCGGGGACAGACTAACATATTTTCCATTTGCACCCCCCTCCTCAAGTTTTCGATTTGCACCCCCCTCAAATTTTCGATTTGCACCACCCCCCCCCCCCTCAAATTTTCGATTTGCGTCGTCGTCCCCCCCCCCCCTCAAGTTTTTCTCTATATATTTTGCTATTTTTTGCTTTGGTGTCACCCCCCTAAATGGTGTCACCCGGTGCGGTCCGCATCCCCGCCCCTCCCCCCCCCCTCGCTACGCCTCTGCCTATACCCATAACATAAAACATATAGCCTTCTGACACATTAGATCTAGACGTTTAGACCTAAAGACATACTACCCATTAGTAAGTTAAAAGAAGTGTATTTATACTGAGGCTATTCATAATTTATAGAGCATTGCAGGTATTGTAACCTATAGCTATTCACATAAAATCTAGATTCTAGATCTAGATCTAGTAAAATACATAAGTTTAAAGTTTATGGTAAAATACTCAGTCAACTAAACTACTACAACTAGACTCGCTATTAAAAATTAATACATATAGAAATCTAGATCTATATCTAGATAATAATAATATTATTATCTAGACTATTTTCTAAATATCTAAACTAGATCTACGCTGAGACTATACTCAACACATACTTCATACTGACTTGGTAATCTAAATCTTACTTAGCCTTACTACTACTAGATCTAGAGTCTAGATCTAGATAAAGTAGATCTAGTTATTAGTAGATCTAGATCTAGATCTAGGTCTGGAATAAAGTCTAGACTACTGACTAGAATCTAGATCTACATCTAGATCTAGAATCTTGATCTAAAATCTAGATCTATCTAGTAAGATTCAGATTGCCAAGTCAGCATGAAGTAGATCTAGATCTAGATCTAGATTTTCTAGATCTAGATATCTAGATTTAGATCTATGTATTATCTTTATGTGTTGAGTATAGTCTCAGTATAGTCTCCGTAACGGCGGAATAGTCAACTACACACTACTAGATCTACACAAATGACCAAAAAGATCTAGGCTATCTATAACTAGAACCTAGAAATACAGTTACAATGAAGATTCTTAATCGATTTACATTTTATATCTAACCATCTAATTAACTAATATATTACTGGTACGTGCTACGCCAAGTAGGCCTACCGGTCTGCTAATGAAATGACCAGTGTTTCTTCCAGACTTTTTTCTCCGGACGGGGGGGGGGGGGGGGCAACTGAAATTTTCGGAGAAGGGCGGTAGACTTTCTTCAAGTGGAGGGGGCCGACAATGTTAAAAGTATATATTTTCTATATAAATTATATACATTTCATTTCGTTCGGGGGGGGGGGGGGGCGGTAAAAAAAAATTCCTGGAAGAAACTTTGGAAATGACGTGAAATGATCGTCTGCTGTAAAACTGGTTTAACTTTTTGAAGTATCGATACCATAATTTATCAGATAACTTGCCATTTAGGCCTTAAGCTACAGAAATAAGGTTTTTTTTTACGGGAATTATTAAAAAAACGCTTAAAATTCTGCATATTTTAAGCACAGCATCTTTCTTTTAAATTTCAACATTTTGTAGAGCTATGATGTGTATCTCGGTAATAGTAGAACGTTTAAAATTTTGAATATGGATATGGTCCACATTGGCATACATAAATACTAGATCTAGTTTTTTTACATACTGCAGAAAAACTGATCAATAGAACCAATCAGTTTATGTAGTTGGTCACTCTTTGCAGATCACTGGTAAAAGTATGTTTTCTATATAAATTACATTTCGCTCGGGGGTTGGGGGGGGGGGGGGGCGGTAGACTTTCTTTGGGGGGGGGTCAAACCCCCCCCCCCCCCCCCCCCCCCCCCCCCCCCCGACGAGATGCCTGGAAGAAACTCTGAGTAGAGTTCACTTGTTTCTGTGACCTTGGCAACATTACGACATAATTAATAAGTGATTATATTTCAATGTGTTCGAAAACGTTTCATATGTAGACCTTATTAATTTTTTCTTGGTAAATTCAATTTGATTATTTCCGTTAATTTAAAAACTATTGTGTCTATGGAGAAACAAATACCAAAATGTGTTTTAAACAATGCATAAATTATTTAACAATAACTTACTTCAGGTCGATTATAAAACCCCACTTTGCCATTAAAATCTATTTGCATTTCTTCGTTTTTAACCATGCCACCTGTCATATTATCTTTCATATTTCAAAACGTCACAACACCACTACCCCTCTACTCACAACACCACTACCCCTTCACTCACACACACACACACCCTGCCGACTTCTCCACGCAATGCTTGGCATTAAGTTCGACTGCTCCCAAATAAAAATAAAAATAACATAACATATCTGTATTGAACTTATTAAAAAGGTTCAGTTCAGTTAATGACAAACCATGAACAAAACTTATACACAAACTGTTTTTATAAAAGCAGACCACAGCTCAAAAATAAAGTAATAAAATTTGGTAAATTAATATCTACTGACCTCTGGCAACATTTTATAAATTTATACAAAATTTTATTCTGGAACAAGTCCCGTAATCCCTTCTCCCCATATTGTATAACAAGCCTTTATTGTTACTGTTTAACAATTTTCTTTACTTACTCAATATGATGTGTATAAGTCATTTCTACAGGTAATATAATTCGCACATTTCTTTGTATCTATTAGTTTATTTTAATCATCTGCATTCGAATAATACATAAAACCTAACGATGATTTTATACTGCATGTACGTATATATATATATATATATATATATATATATATATTTATATATATATATATATATATATATATATATACTAAAATTAGAGATGTACAAGCCATTATATTTGCTAGTGGTCTCCTATTATAATCTGTTTCTTTTTGTGACGATCTGTAACGACATGTTATTGGCAGATAAACGTTGTTTTAAAAAGCGTGCCGCGATTTATGGATGACCCTCAAACATGTTTTCGTTTAATGTATTTATCATACAAGCGATACAATAAAATTGTTTTTAAAATATGTATAGAGCTTGTAACTGTCTTTTTTTCAATTTAAATAGCTTTAAAAATAATAAATTAATATATGTTTATTAAATACAGAAAGTATTGAAATATTAATGTTTTAAATAGTCAAAATAAAATCAATAGCATTTCTTAAAGATATGAACATACTCTTTTTGGCTAAGATAAAAAGACATACTACTTTAATTTCTACTATAGTAGTATTAGACAGTACAATTAAAAAACACACATACTAAACTGGTAATCGTATGTATACTTACAAGAGAAGGTTAGTTTAACACTGCTTTGATTGCCGCTTTGTCTGTGTACTGGTAGCTCTTGGTTTCTAGGATTATATATACATAGACGATTCTAAAAGTAGACATGACTTTCATAGATCTGGGGAAATCCCTACATGTCTTTCATGTAAAGTGTTGTTGACGTCGACACCAGTGGCATAGCCAGGATCGTCTCAAGGGAGGGGTTCCAATTTTTACCCGGGGACAAACTTTCGATTTGCACCCCCCACTCAAACTTTCGATTTGCACCCCCTCAAACTTTCGATTTGCACAACCCCCCCCTCATACTTTTTATATAAATACCGAGTGCTTTATGGGGGTCATTGACCCCCCCTAACCACCCCCCCCCCCCCACTGCCTACGCCACTGGTCGACATAAACCGTTAGTAATAGGCGGTCATGTGGGTAACGACTTAAACGACAATGTATGGTGGATGGTGATTGGTGATAATAAGGCTAAGAGCTGGGACATTTTGTACATAGAGAGGAGCTATGAAATGTTCTTTTATTGGGGTTGAAGTGAGGGAGAGCTGGTCTTTCTGTAGTGTCAATACTTGTTTGGTTGGATGGCTGGTCGTTTAAATAGTCAGACAAAAACATTTACTGACCCGCCATTATTGAGTTCTGGGCCCGGGGCATACGAGGCTCTTTGTTCATGTGTTTTGTCTTGTAACAACTACTTAAAGTTTAAATGTATTCGTCTCATAATAAAACGTTTTATGTATCGTTTTATTTTTCCATCAGGTCCAACTCTTGTACCACATGCCACTACTGAGAGAGAGACCCGTCTATAAATTAGATTCCTTCAGTCATAGTTTATTCTGTTCTTAAAATCTTTACTTACGTCAACGACTGGAAGTTCAACCTGATTGCTTCTTATTGATCTATTACCAAAAATAAATC